TCTGTCTCTCCTCCACAATCTGAGCAGGGGTCCTCACGCCCCACATCCTCTTTTGGATAATGAAGGTTCAAGAGAAGATTCTGGGGTGGGGGGTACTCTAGTTTCTCCTGTGTGACCTTGGGCAAGTCAYCTTAATTCTTTTTTGTTTGCAGCACTRGGGATTGAACCCAGTGCCTTTCACATGTTAGRCAAGCGCTCTGACATTGAACTACATCCCAAGCCTTTTGTTTTTATTTTGAGACACGGTCCCACCAAGTTGCCCAGACTGACCTCAAACTTTCAATACTCTTGCCTTAACCTCCCAAGTAGCTGGGGGCTACAGGTGTGTACTGGTGTTCCTGGCTCTCCTTAATTCTATTATTTTTTTTTTTGACCACTAAAAGAGAATTTTGTTTATTGTCACCTGAAATTTTCCATTTTTTAAAATAGAAGTTTTATTGGTGCATAATAATTATATATAATAGTGGGATTTATTGTGACATATTTGCACAGACATATAACATATCCATTTCATTTTCCAGTGCCTCCCCTTGCCTTCCCCTTTGACCTCACCCCCTTTCTCTACCCTCCTGGTTTCCCTTGTCTATTCATGAAATCACTGTTTTTCTTTTATTCTCTCTAGTTTCCATGTATGAGAGAAAAATATGACCCTTGATTTCTGAGTCTGGCATATTTTTCCTAACCTGATGTTCCCCAGTTCCATCCATTTTCCTGCAAATGATATAATTTCAGTCTTCCTTATGGCTGAATAAAACTCTGTTGTGTATATATACCACATTTTCTTTATCCATTCATCTATTGATGGACACTTAGGCTGGTTCCATAATTTGGCTCTCAGGAGTTATGCTTCTATAATGTGAGCATGCATGTATCTCCTCAGTAATTTTTTTGTATACTATGAAGAGTGTATAGTTGGGTTATATGGTGGTTCCATTCCTACTCTTTTTATATCTTTTATTTTATTTTTTTTAAATCTATTTTTTAGTTTAGTTGGACACAATATCTTTATTTTGTTTTTATGTGGTGCTGAGGATTGAACCTAGGGCCTTGCACATGCTAGGAAGCRTCTACCGCTGAGTCACATCCCCAGCCCCAATATCTTTTATTCTTAATTGGGGATAATCTCCTACCTGTTTGAGGCTACTGGGGATCAGCAAGATAGTGATTGTGACTGATTCTCCTGGAAAGATCAACCCTGGGCTGACAGAGTGCTGGGGTTCTGCTGCCTCTAGAATTTCTACAGAGGAGGGGCTTAGGGTCAGCTATCTGATTGAAAGGGGAATGGCAGAGCATGATTTGTGAAAATATTTCTGGGGGTGTCTGTGGGGGGAGCTGGTCGACCAGGATTGCAGGAGGCGGGGGACACTCCCCAAGGCAGTCCCTGACACAGACTCTGCCTGACCTTAAGCTTGRTCTTGCTGCATGACCTTGGGCAAGTCACCGTCCTGACCTGGGTGCCCTTCTGTGGGTTGGGTTAACCCCAGCATCAGTGTGTGTGAGAGTGTGGGCATTGCTGAGTGAGACGAGGGGATGGCGGGGGCGGTCCATAGCTTTGTGAGGCTGGGCTGGGACTCATTCGTGGAGAGTGTCATGTTGGGGGTACAGGAAAGTGGTCAGGAAGCAGGGAGGTGATTTTCTTCCAGGACTGTGGCCTCCTGATGAAGGATGTTGGGAGCCTTTAATGAGATTACTAATATCATCATAGCAACTCATATTTACTGACTGCTTGAATGTAGCAGACATGGCTCTATGCATTACATGCATGATTTAATTTACTTCTGACGACTCCTTGTGAAATAGGTTCTATTATCCCCATTTTGCAAAAAGAGCAACTGAGATTTTAAGACCTTATGGAGCTTACAGCTCATCAGCAATGTGACCAAGGTCTGGACCTAGGTAGTCTGTCTCTGTGACCAACCTCCTGGACCCCGGCTCGAAACTACTGTTGAGGGGGTGGGGCTGTTTATCAGCCTCCTTGTGCATCTCAACTAGCTTGGCCAAACCCTAGCCAACAGTGAGAGATTGGTCCTCCCTTTAGAACATGACCTGTATGCAACAGACTACTGTTTATCTGTGKGATGTTATGATGACAGCGCTCGGCAGATGGGGGGGTCTAGTCAGAGCTCCCTCTCTGAGGGAGAGGCAAGATGGGGACTCTATCTGCTTCATTCACTGTTTTATCTCAGGGCTTGGCACRTAGTAGTTGCTCAATAAATATCTGTGGGATCAATATACAAGTGTGTACATGTGGTCTTCCTCCTTATTGACATTAGGCCCTGGAGCATGAGAATGACCTGTGGGGGTCAAGACCAGCTCTGCTCCCATAACTCCTCATCTGGTAGTCCTCTTCTCCCTTGGTCAGGGCCCTTCCTGGCTTGAGAGCACAGAAGAAAAATAGCCAAGAGCATCCTCATCTGTAAAATGGACCAAGGAAACCCTCTTCACCTGGCTGAAGGGAAGCTAAGTGAGGTAACAGGACAGGTATGGATGTGGTCTGCCACCTGTCATTGTGTCATTGTGTGTGTRTGTGTATGAATGTATGAGTCAGCCTGGTCTCAAACAGTTAAGGGATGAGGTCAGAGCCTCTAGCACAAGGCAGGCCAGACTGCTGACTGCCAGTGCCCTGGACCAATCCCCAGGGGCTGGGGATCTGGCTGGTGAGAGGAAGCAGGAGGGGAGAGTCACTGAGGGAGGCAGGAGAGAGATCTGGGGAGAGAGATTCCTGCACAGTAGGCTTTCCTAAGCCTCACCACTGGTCGGGAGTGTAGAGGGGAGGCAGGATGAAGGCATGTGGGGAAGATTTAGGAAGGAGGAGTGGAGCCATCTTGTCATTCTGGGCCTGGAAGCCAGCAGAAGACCCTGGCTGGGGCAAAGGGACAATATTGAGAGGAGGTGTGTGTGGGGCCTGGGATCTGGGACCTCATGTRTGCAGTGATGGAGATGCTTCTTTTGGTCAGATTCCCTGATGGGTCCCCTCTGCTGGCCTTAATGCAAAAGCCAGCCCCTTCCCAGGTGGCTCTCTCCCCCTGGGTTGACTTTTCTCTGAAGGTGGCTCTTGACCCATTAAAGAGGCACAAACCTTTCACCCCTGATACCTGGCCTTGGGAATGAGGGCGTGAACAAGAAGAATTAATTGTATTTTCAGGCTAAAGTCACCACTTAGAGTGGCAGCTAGCCCCGGGGAGGGCAGCAGCCATGAGTTAAATGCTTCATAAGTACACGACTGAGCTGGAAGAAGAGAGTCTAGAACCACTGCCAAATTTGCTCACCCATGATGGACCTTAACCAGTCGCCCCTCTTTAGCCAGACTGTGTCAGAGCCTGGCCGTCAGCAGACTGCTAAGCATCAGAGGTGCTGCCCTGCCCTCCTCCCCGCGTGCCCCCAGCTCCTCGCTCCTGGTGCTCCCCTCCCTTTTTCCTTTCTTCTTTCTCCCTCCCTCCCCCATCCTTTGAGGCATCACCATGGTACCACAGCAGAGCAGAAACCCAGCGAGATTCACCCACCTCTCCCGCCTGCCTGCCTGGAGCCCAAGCTCTTGCCTCACGAAGCTTGCTGCGCCCCCTGCTTCGCCATCCCAGCATCTCGCTCACGGAGGTGGCAGGGCAGTGTTGTGCTGAGGGTAAGGAGAATGGGGTTCTAAGTACAACTGGACCCATAAATCTCCCTTCTGCAGCCATGAACCTGTCCATTCCCCTCTCTCAGCCTCAGTCTCTCCATCAGTTCAATGGGAAGGTTCCTTTCTAGATCCAATGTGACTTCTACCTGGCCGCTTCTTGACAATTTGGATTCCCTTTGCATGTCAGGACCCAGTTCTCAAATCTCCAACCACCAACCCAGCAGCCCATTGCTCCATCTCCTCCTCTTTCATATCTCAGCAGCAATCACCGATCACCGCTAGCCTTGTGGCTGAGGTYGGAGGTCAGAGAACTCTCATCGGACAGCTCAGTGAGCAGCTGATTACCTAGGGACAGGAGACTGTCAGGCTGCTGGAGACTGCCTGGCTCCTTCCGGGCAGTTGAGCAGGGGGCCCTGGGTCAGTCTGGGTGGAGCTGCAGGTGTGTTCTGTGGAGATGAGGTGAACCCCTTGCCGTTGGCTTTGAAAACCCCTAAGCTGCACAGGTTTGAATGACCTAATGGGAACTGACCACCACCTCCCCAGCTCTCTGCCTAGGAACTAGCAACTCTGCAAGGATCAGAGCTCCTGGCCCTGGTTCCTCCCCACATTATGGAATCTGAGGCACCTGGCACAGGTGCCCATTGGTATCCATATATTGCCTGGATGTAGGGCTGAGCTCTCCCGAGTAGGAGCCCAAAATACTGAAAATATAGGGAGGGCCCTCTGGGCCCCTGCACCTGTCAGGGCCACATTCACTGACTGGAGTGGCTATCCCTGTGCCCATTTGTCCCAGAACAGACCTGGGGCTCCCTGCCTGATCTCCTGCTTGGCTTCTGGCCCAACACCCACCTTAATATCCAGTTTGTCCATTTAGCCAGCAGCCTGGTTCAGTACATCCTGGGGGGGCTGAAGGTGGACAGGAGCGGTTGGATTCAGGGTGCCCTGAGGGAGGAGAGAAGGAGGTTCTGGGACTGGAGCCCCAATTAAGGGGTGGTAACCTTCCACAGGATACTGGTGACAGGGGCTGCCTCCCGGCCCCCTGCCCTTCCCACTCTAACCTTAGGGTGCTGGGGGCTCTGCTTGCTACCTGGCAGCCTAATCCTTTCTGGGCTCCAGGTAGTTAGTTTCCCAAGGGGGTCTCCATCTCCTCTGCCGGTTGAAGCCCAGAAAAACATCAGGTGCATCCACTGAGAGCCAGGGGACAGAGTGTTTGGAGCAGCCAATGTCCAATGCTACAGTGCTCCCTTGGCCTCTAGACCCCTCCTTGGACACCTCYTCTCCAGGATCCACCCCCATTTCTGTCTCATCTTGGCCCCTGCCCTACCACCGAGGACGCTGCTTCTTCAGCCTCCACCTCAGCAGAGCCCCTCCCAAATGCACTCACCATGGGGTCGGAGAGGGGTCTGTAGGGTCCTCAGCCCCACTGCTTCTCCGGGGCCGGCAGCGTCTCCTGGGACCCAAACACCTGGCTCCCGGGGGGAGCTGCGCCCTGTGCTGGCAGCGGGAGAGGCACAGCCAGTGATTGGCATGTCCCACCCCCTGGCACGCCAGCCTGGGGGGGAGGGAGGAAGGGAAAGAGAGGGAGGGAGGAAAGGGAGGAAAGGAAGGGAGGGGGAGCTGGAGGGAAGCCTCAGGCAGCATCTGGGGTTGGACTAGGTCCTGGAGCATTGCCCCCTCCTCCACCAGGGCACCCACTTTGGGCCCTGAGAGGGAGGAGGCAGGACATGAGGAAGGCAAGCCCAGCAAGGCTAAAAGTCCAGGACGGGAGAGAAGGCGGATACAGGGAGACAAACACCCACACCCACTGCACACAGACTCGGCGGCACACACACACCCTCACAAAGGCACACTCTGTTTCCCCAGGCTTCTTCCCCCACCCACCTTCGAGCCCCCAAACCGGTGCACCATGCCCCAACACACATGCCCTGGTATTCACATGCCTGCTTCCCTCGCACACATGCCCTCCCCCCTGCACATGCCCACGCGCCCACCCACCCACCCAGGCACACACCCTGCTCTTCCTCCCTGCTGGGAGGGAGCTAGATTCCTTCTGTTTGGAAATGACACATTGGGCCTCACGTGAGAGGCTCCAAGTTGGAACCAACCCAGAGGGCTGGCGCACCCGCCCCAGGGCTGAGCGGACGTGCCCGCGTGCTGGGCTGGTGCTCTAGCATCTGCCCATGCCAGCATAGTCCCAGTGTGAGGCTCTAGGGGTGTCTTTTCTGTGGGGATCAGTGGGAGGCTGTGTGCTTGCCCCAGGTGCTGTGGAATGGCCGGCATGTGTGTGTCCCTACATACTCATGTCACCATGCAGCCTGTGTAAATGCAGGTGTGACCCTGTTGATGTGGAGGAAGTGTGCATGTGCGTGTGTCTGTATCGGGAGTGTGTCTGAGTGTTGCCCAACTATGGAACTTGCTAATTCTGACAAGCAAGGCAGTTTCTACCTTCTTTTCCTGCTCCACCCCCAGCTTCCCCTTGGAAGACAGACAGACAGGCAGACAGACAGCTCTCCTCCCAGCTTGTCAAACTCAGTCTCCCCCGATTCCCACTCAGGGCTCACAGGTGTGTCCCTGGGAAGTGCAGAACTGCTCCTTCCCACCTCCCTCAGCCCTGCTGCTTTGGCCAGCACCCCTCCTCCCAGGTCCGTTTGGATTTCTGTGTTGAGTTTCCTCAGAGATAGAACCCCTGGGGGGCCCTTTGCCATAGAGACCTGGGTGCTGCACCGCCCTGTCTGGCCCTAGAGACCTCCTGGGGAGCTGACCACAGGAGAGTCGGGGAGGTGACAGGGACTGCCTGCTGGGGCTGCTGTGTTCTTTGCCCTACGGGCTGTGCCAAAGCCCTGGGGTGGGAGGTGGGAAGCACTGAAATCGTTATCCCCATTATGTAGGTGAGAAATGAGAAAGCTGAAGACGGGATTAATGCAGCGGGCACMTGTTAGGACTCACGTCCAGGAGCTCGGTAGCCCTGGGCTCGGTAGCCTGGGACACCGGATTGGGCTGAGGCTTGCTCCACTCCTTTCTTTCCTCTACCCATTTTCCAAAAGAGCACCGCTTTCCAATGCTCAAGTCGGAGGGTAATTTGGGGCTTTCTCATTCAGGAGCCCAGTTGCCTAGGGAGCCAGGTAGAACAGAAACTGGAGTCCCTGGGGCTTGGCCAGCGGCCACTGGTGCCGGTAATGGGTACACGTGGCAGGTACATGTGGGGGCATCTATACTTTTGAGAAGCTGGGGCTCCAGTAAGCACCCATATGCCTCGTTTCTTTTAAGCTGGGCAGAGACTGCAGCTCAGAGAGAAATTTGAGGAGCCCTCGCCCCCGACCCCAGGATCACAGTCGGTCAGCGTTGACTCATAACTCAGCCGGTCCCTGCCTGTGGGCTGCCCCCTGCTGGGCTGTCCCGGCTTTGCGGATGCGCCTGGGGCGCGCGGTGGGGCTGCGTGTACTTGTGCGCGTACACGTGGCTGAGTGTGGGGGTGTCAGGCCTCCACACTCAACATCCATTTCCGAGTCTGAATCAGACGCTCCTTACCCCTCCCCCCCCAATCTCCTTGGTCTCTCTTTTCTCTTCTCCCACCGCCTCTGCGCACGTCCCTTTAGAAATAAAAACACTTATTTGGTGGGCGGGAGGGGAGGGTGTCCAGCTTTCCCCTGCCTCCTCCTGAGTGCCCCGCTCTGTCCCATGAGTCTAAGCTGCCGCGGAGACGGGGGGATAATGCCCCCCACCCAACCCCTGTTACTGTATAACTCTTGCATCCCGCCTAGACTTGGCTAGGTCCCCTTACTAGATGGGGAAACTGAGGCAGGAGGAGAGAGAGGAGGTAGGGCGGGGAGAAGCGCTCCCGCCCGGCTCGCTCACCACCCCCGCACCCGCGCCCGATTTAGCCGCAGGGAGGCTGGGAACATTGTCTTTATTTTAAGCCGCCGAGTGCGGCACGAACGGGGCTGCTCGCGACAAAGGGCTTCGCTAAGCGGCTGCAGACAGCGCACACAGGGGTCCAGACCCGACCCCGCGTGACTCCCCAGCCGCTTTGACCCTCTCTCGTTTTCCTTTGTCCAGGTCATGCCAGGCAGAGTTCTAGGTCTCAGCTCCTGCTAGTTAATATTTTTAGTACCCCGAGGAAGGATGCACTCCTCCAAACCACCAAGGGATCGCGGGGTCGCCCTTTGGGTGGCTGGACCCAATCTTAGTCCTTTCACGGTGGAGGAGGAACCTGCATGGGCAAGTTAGTGCTCCTCTCTAGGTCRTTGATGTGGGGTTGGGAGATAGAAATACCTTCCCTGATGGGGTTGTTTGACGACTGACTAGTTAGGCTTGTACGCTTAAATGTGGCACGTGCCTCTGCTAAAAATGAAAGGCATTATTATCATTATCATTAATTTGTGGTGTCCGGATTAAACACAGGGCAGTCSGAGCATCCCAGGGAAGCATTCTACTGAGGCTACAAACTCAGCCCGTGAAAGCTATTAGTTATTTATATGTATTGAACACTTCCTACGAGCCAGCCCCTGGTAAGCGCTCCATATTCCTTAACCATTGGCTGCTCACAATTTTATGAGGGAGGCTTTATTATTGTTGCTGTGTTATGGATGAGTAGATTTACCAGCTGTGCATCCCAAAGAATTTCTTGGGAGGGTACAGTCGGTGAAGTGGGATCATGCAGGCCTACAGTTACAGAGACCTGTGGAACCAAAGTCGGTTTAGCCAGCCCCGGTGGCCCACACCTGTAATCTCAGCGGCCCAGAAGGCTGAGTCAGGATGTTCTCCAAGTTCAAAACCAGTTTCAGCAACTTACTGAGACCAGTCTCAAAATTAAAAAAAAAAAAAAAAAAAAAAGGGCTGGGGTTGTGGCTCAAGTGGTAGCGCACTGACAGCATGAGTTCGATTCTCAGCACCACATTAAAAAAAAAATAAAGATATTGTGTCCACCTAAAACTAATCTATCTATCTATCTATCTATTTTTTAAGAAGTTAGTCTAGGCTGAAGGCCTCCCTGAGTGGAGAGGAAGTAAGCCAGCTCAGGGCACATACTCCCTGATGGGTAACCCCTCTTAAGATTAAACCCTTACCCTGGGTTTAATCAAACCTAGCTAAACTGGTCAGTTCACAGYACTGATTCTACTGTTCTAGGAGATGGAGGCAGGAATGGGAGATTCTGAATGTGAATGTGAAGCTCAGCTGGGGTTCCRGTTTGTGGTCTCACCTGTTGCCTCCATTTGGAGACAAGGCACCTCTTTGTGTCCCCTCCATTGCTGTCCTCCCCGCCTTCCCCGAGAGACTAATTCTTTATATATAGATGAACACAATACCCTCATTTGTTTATCTTTACATGGTGCTGAGGATCGAACCCAGGGCCTCACASGTGCTAGGCAAGTGCTATACCACTGAGCCACAACCCCAGCCCCCCAAAAAATCATTCTTAAAAGGAGAAACTAAAATCCAGGGTGGGGCTGCGGATACAGGTGACTCAGCGAGGGGGTCCGGAGCCCYGCTGCCCAGGCCAGACACAGACACAACAAACTCATCCTCTTGGGACAGGAAGCTGAGGTTTTCCGAGTCTGGCTCCAAAGTTGAGCCCGGGGGAAGTCAGAATTCCCCTCCATGCTGGAAGCTTCACCTCCCCAGCCCAGCTCCGTGCAGGGCACCTCCRCACAGGGCATGGACCTGGAAGCAGCCCTGATCTCCACCTGGAAGCTTCTGAAAAAAGTTTGGGTTTGGGGCAGCTTGCTGTTTTCCAGAGTAGCCTGGGAATTGGGCAGAGCGCTCCCTGGTTCGCCTGGTCAGAACAGCTGGCGACACTGTTGAGTTGATGTGRCACACAGGATCCAGCCGGAGTGGGAACTGAGAAAATGTCAGACTGGGCCTTGGGGAAGAACAGCGTTCCCCTGGGGGCATCCCTGAACGTCCTCAATCCCTGCTTGTGAGGCAGGGTCTCCGAGTTCAGGTCACTTGCCCACACCTGAGAGTTGGAAACCCTGTTGTGCAGCTCAGATTGAGGAAGAAGGCATTTTCCCCAACCACGAGGCCAGTGCCTCGGCTCTAATTTCTACCAAAGTAACTCGAAAAAATCAAGGAATGGCGTCGACTGTTTCGATTGGCCAATGATAGTTCCCTTGGCAACAACCCTAAGCTTTCTGYCACAGGGTAGTTGCATTCAGGCCCATGTCTAGGTCCCACGTCAAATTGGTGAAATTGCTGGGGAAAAGTCCTTCCAGGCTTCCAGTGGGGATTTCCCTATCAGTCCGGACCTTAAAGTTTCTCTCTGTTTGCAGAGGAATCCTAGGGTCCAGGGGCATGGTGTGGTGCGCCAGGGTTGATTTCCTGGTCCCCGCCCTTGGCTATGCCAAGTTTGCTTCCTTCTCTAGGACTCACTCCCCAATCCTAGAGACGTCCTAGAGTCCCCATGGAAAGAAGTCCACATTAGTGAGGGATGGGAGGGAACCAGGTGAGTGGCCCTCAGCCACCTTCTACTCATTTCTCCCAGAGACCCTAGCTCTGGCACAGGTGCAGCAAGTACATCGGTGAGCAGGGGTTGCCCCTTACCTTCCCACCTAGGCACTGTGAACCCTAAGACCACAGGCTTCCAGTGATTTTTGGCTTCAGAGTCCACTGCTGACAGTGGCCACTGTGGWGGTGCCCATGACCTTGCATGCTTCCCAGCGCTCAGCCTAATGACCAGCCTAGCTTCAGGCCCAGGAGGGGCTGGG